TAAAGGAGGTGAGGGGGTGGGGGCAGAAAGTGGAAATGAAAGCAGACAACAGAACATTGCTAGAGAGCAGGAAAGGAGGTGAAAGGAGACAATTTTAGAGAAGAAAATGTTTCGGTCGCTACCCGGATTCGAACCCGGGACCTTTGAATGAGAGGCCAACACCCCTCTAGGCCACGAGAGCCCCCTTGTACTTTTATCCGACATTTTACTTCACAGTAGACAATGAGGTCAGAAACCAATTACTTCAATACCAATGTTCTGTGTGCTCTATCAAAATGGTACAAATATGTGGAGTCGTTATCAAGATATTCAAAGAGTTGCACTGAAAAAAGCTTGACATGTTGTGAAAGCCAAATGTGTTACGTCCAGTTTCTCAAAGCTAGGTCCTGAGCAGATAGAACTTTGTCGTTCTGGGGTCGGGAACTAATCAAAACAGCAGAAGACCACTGACTATCTCGGCAAATGTCCAACCGTCATACACAACTTAGAATTACGAATTTGCATATATCTAACTCATAGTATGCACGTTGTTGCCCGCCATGTTATGTGTCAGAACAAGAGGTGATCTATACCTTAATAATATACAAACAGTAAACTTGTTCTCGCATCCGATCCGGACATTGGGGATAGCCTTGTTAGTGAGACAACTTCCTGGGCCTTCGGCGTATTGTGGTAGGGTGGCCATTTCTTCCACGCTGCCTTTACTTCCCCAACTCGAAGTCAGGTACCCATTACTGCTGGGTGGGCAGGGAAATCCGTGTCCGAACCGAGGCTCGAACCCTGACTTTCCCCTTGGGAGACAAGCACACTAACCGCTCCGCCACCGCACCCTCGACTATAATACCTTCCCCTGTCCCGTAGACTGGATGTCCGTCGGGGCTTCGGAAGATTTGGCCACCAGCTTCCTCCACTCCTTCCGGTCTTCAGCTTTCCAGAGCGTGTCTTTGAGTTCCAGGCCTGTCCATTTCTTGATGTTGTCCTCCCAACTCTTCTTCGGTCTGCCTCGGCTCCTTTTCCCCTGGACGCTGCCTTGTAGGATCATCTTGGCAAGGCCGGATGAACGGGTGATGTGTCCACATACCACTGCAGTTTGAGTTTCCTGGCCAGAGAGAGAAGGTGTTGATAAGACAAATCTATTTATAGAAAGACAAATCTATACGCCAAACAAAGTTCCGCTTCCTTCTGAACGTGTCCCAACACAGACCGTCTTCACCCAGAACCAACGATCTCAAAGCGTGAATCAAACCACAATATACCCCCCCCCCCCACCCCGGGGTGGTGCTACGGACTGAAGTGTCTTTTCGCCATTCCCAAAGGGGGGACATTAACATGTTCTTTTGCACAGTAGAATTGTAATTAATTGTTAATGGGCTGATCTAACAATGCCATGCTCCTAACTGTGCCTGTACTGCAATAGGGAACTGCTGCTTTTTCTTTCCAAATCCTTATTATCGTCATTTTCCTCTACTTCACACTCTTGTGACCTGCTATTTCCGGGGTGCCTTGATAGTCGAAACAGACGTTGTGCTGTTGAGGCTAGAGAGGTGAGCAGAGTGAGTCTGATTCCCTGTAAGGACTTCTCTGTTGACATCCACCCCTAGGCGCTCATGTGACCTTATGCAGTTGCGAGAGCCATAAAACCTCTACTAAAACTTTTTTTTAAAACCGCAATAAAGCTTGGACTTTCGATACAACGATCATTTTCCCATTGGATTTCATCAACCAGAGTGCATTGAAAGAGACGTAAAAGAAGAAACATGTCTACTAGTCAATACAACATGGTCCTTTCCCTTTATTCGGTCCACTTTTATAGCTGAAGACGACACGAAAGGAAAGGGGCTGTTCAAATACATGTATTATAATCTTACACCTTTTTGGGACTTTTTA